ATGTGTGTATGTATGTACGTATATATACAACTAAGTGCGTGTGAAGATAGATAGATAGATAGATAGATAGATAGATAGATAGATAGATAGATATGAATAGAATGAGATAGATAGATAGATAGATAGATAGATAGATAGATAGATAGATGCTGCATTTCTATGTAGGTGGTGGGGCCGCTTTAGCACCTGGCTAATTCACTCAATTGCTGCAAAAGCCTCGGGAGATTTCTAGATGAAGAACCCAGCATCGAGGGGGTCCGTCCATAAAAAGAAGTATATTTTATCTGTCAGACAGAGTGAAAATAATATTAGGATAAGGTGTTTTAAAAATAGTGGGAAAAAAACGGAACAGTAGAAAAAGAAACGGAAACGAGGTAGAAATGTAAGGAGAAAAAAAGAAAGAAAATTGGAAGAAATAGAAGATAAAACAAAGAGTAGTTAAGGAAAGAGAAAGAAATGAAGACGGAGGTGGCAGGGGGGGGGGAATGGAGTAAGAGAATGGAATCAAAATAACCCGGGATAAATACACAAATGACAAAGGTGGGGGGGAGAGAAAAGAAAGAAAAGAAAGAAAAATAGAAAGAAAAAGAAAAAATGAAAAGAAAGGGGGAAAAAATGAAACAAATAAAATAAAGGGAAGAGATTAAGAGAAACGGAGAAAAGGAAATAAAAAATCACTGAAAGAAATGAGAGAGAATGAGAATATTCGACAATAAAAGAGGCTGAGAAGAAAATTCGTTGAGGAAAAAGAGAAAAGATAACATAAAGCGAGGAAGGACAAGATAGACAAATTTGTGAGAAAGAGAAAAAAAAAGAGGGGGAAGAAAGAAAGAAAAAAAAAGAAAGAAAGAAAGAAAGAAACGTGTATGGGCGGGTGTAAGACAAAGAAAAGTAAAAGGTACTGAAGAAAGAAAGAGATAAAGGAGAAAGAGAAAAGTGCGGGAAGATGAGAGAGAAAAATCAAGGAAAACATAAGTTAAAAACGAGGGGAGACATGAGACAAAGTTAGAGGGGGAGAGAGAGAGAGAGAGAGAGAGAGAGAGAGAGAGAGAGAAGAAAAAGAAGAAAGAGAGGAAGGAGGAGAGCGACAAAAAAGTGAGAAAAAGCTACAGCGAAAAACAAAAAAAAGAAGGGAGAGAAAAATGAGGATAGACAAGAGATAGTGACAGAGAAAGAGATAAATAAATAAAGAGAAAGAAAGAAAGAAAGGAAACTACACAAACAGCAATATATATATATATATATATATATATATATATATATATATATATATATATATATATAAACTCGTGAATAAAGACAAAAGGAAAATTTAGCCGACGTGTTTCGTTTCCTGTTGGACTTTATCAAGGCAAATGCGGATGAAACGCGTCATATACCATAAGTTTTCTTCTTTTTTTTTATTTATTTACATTGTCCTTTTATAGATATACTCTATCTGAAATTTTTGCACATAAATTAGGGAGAGAAAAAAGAGCAAAATCAACGTTGGGTTTAAAGAAAAGAAAATTTGCCGTAAAGTAAAGATTGTCTCTTTGGACCTATGCCGATTTAAATAATGGGCATGTGTCCAAGGAGGCACGGTGGTGTAATGTATAACGGCTCGGATTGTGAAATTGATAGAACCGAGTTCAAATTCCATTCAGATCTATTGAATTTACTTTGCGAAACAATCTATGGTTTGACTACGTTCTATAGCCTGGGTTGGCAACCGGTCTAGGAGAAGGAAAACACTGAATTCAAACCGGGGCTGGAAAGATAGGGATCCGCCGGGCGATCTTGCTCGAAAAACACCACTTCTGCTGAAGGGCCACGGGATTTGTGACCGTGTTCCTTGACAAAAAAAATCGCGTCTGAAGTTTGCTATCATTTTTCTATCCATTTTTGTTTGGGAAGATAACGGTCAACCTTAGACTCGAACAGGTTATGTTTGTAGTGATAGGAGAAGCATCCTCTTGGGAGTCGGTTTCACAAAACAGAAAAGAAAGGGAAGGTATATAAAAATCAACGTTTGGTTCATAGAAAAGAGAATTTACCGTAAAGAAAAAAATTCCATATAATTCAAGTTTCCCTGATAGTTCAAATAGGCTTTTATGTTGTACTGTCCAAACCTATGAAACATAGGTGTACACCTTTCTGCATTTGCATTGCTCACTCTGATAGCCTCCCGATAATAGAGATAGCATTTCGTATGGAGAAGAAGCTTTTTGAGTGGGACTTACATCTCACCAATGGAAAACAAATGGAATGAGGTTGTGTCTCTACGTGCGTGGCATGGCGTGCCTTGGCCATGAAGCATATAACGGATGGAACTAAGTAATGTAAGAATTGTCTCGGTCTATAGGTTAAATAAATCTGATGAGAAAACAGATCCCTCTTTACTCTGCTTTCTGTTTTTGGGTACATAACAGGAGTAGATAAATTTGTCTATTCCCCGGTTCAAACGCCTCCCGGTTGAACAGGATTTGAAGTTTATCCCTTGTTTCCTGTTTAGGATTGGGTTTCCGGTTCATTCTAATGTCTACTTCAAGTCTATATTTCTAACATCTCCCCTTAAAATGAACTATTTATTTACATTTTTTTCCTCGAGATAGCATTGCCCGTCGTCTAGTTCACACTCCTACTCGGTTTTTTGAACAGGTTTTGTTTGGTTTGGCTTGGTTTGATTTGGTTTGGTTTGGTTTGGTTTGGTTTGGTTTACGGCATATCGTCCTCAATGAGTTGTTTAATGCCGACAAGATTTTTATTGCTGGTAATTTTTTTTCAAAAATATATTGCTGGTAATAAAGTATTGCTGGTAATAACTTTTCATTCAAGAAATTTATTGCTGATTTAAAAACTATTTTTACACTTTCATAGTGCTTTAACCTCAGTTTAGGGATTAAGTATTTACCTATATTTGGGACCTTAACAGATGCTCCCACCCCGGGCCAGGGTCGACCTAAAAACATCATCAATTAAAAGGTGGTTCCACGCTCCTCAAAACCTCTTGATTAGAGGCCTTGCTGTCGGGCGTAGTTTATCGTCTTACGCAGGACGGTGTATATTTGGGGTAAGAAAACCAATCATAGAACACCTAGTAAGGATTGAACTCACTACCAATAGTTTGGTAGTTAAGCTTGTAAGCATGCCAATTGTTATTTTCGGTTGGTTTAGTTTGGTCTGTTTTACGGCATGTTAACCTCAATTGGTTATTTTAATGCCGACAAGATTTTTATTGCTGGTAATAAATTATGTAAATTATGTAACAGTCATCACCTGAAGATTTAAAAAACTTATTTTTACACTTTCATAGAGTTTTGGGGGTTAATTATTTGCCCATAACTGGGTCCCTAACAGGTGCTCCCACTCTGGGTCAGAGTAAACCTGCGAAAACCAGCAATTAAGAGGTGGTTCCATGCTCCTCAAAACTTCCTGACCATAGGCCTTGCTGTTGGATGTAGTTTATCGTCTTACTCAGGACGCCGATGTAGTTTATCGTCATACCCAGGACGTTTTTGAACAGGAGTAGAGGTTTGTCCTTTCTTTTCTCTTTAGAAGTGGGTTTCCGCTTCCGTCTATAGTATTTTCTATCTCTTTCCCTTCCAGTGGCTCCTTGCGTCTTGGTGGCATTATTACCTTACTTAGGGTGGTGTTCCTTACTATGTAACCCTCTACCTTGGGTGGCTCCTGGGCCTTATACAGATTGAACATCATTATGTCCTCTTAGTTCCTGTTCTTTTATTTTTATTGTTCTCGCTTCTTAATAATGTTTTTCTTTTACTCATAGTCTTTCACACTCAGTAAATTTTGCGTTTTAGTGGCTTTATTGCCTTGTTTGCATTGAAATAGTTAAAAGAAATTTAAATTAAACACTTTATTTAATCTACGGGGTTAGATTGTTCTCGTCTCGTGCTCCATGTTTAAGTACATATCTTGTTCATGTTTTTTGTATTGCTCAAGTATTGCTAGTCCAATTTGTAATCGTGTAAGATTTCAAAATTTCACCATTCCTGCCAGATGTTCTGTTATCACAGTGTGGGATTTCTAATAATAAAAGCTGTAGAAATATGTCGCACCAACATAAAAAATTTAGTCCTTAGTCATACGAAAGCTTTTTCCACTTTGTCATACATTCCCTCCCCAATAACCATGTAAATAAAAGACAAGAGGTTTTGGAGAGCCATGATCGCTCACAACCCGAAAGGTCTTGGCACATAAGGAGAAAAAGCAAATTGATTACATATTATTCTCCCTTGTTCGTTGTCGATAAGATTTTCATTTTGTTGTAGAGGATGTTTCTATGAAGAGATTCAAGTTGGTTAAAAAACGACTGGGAGTTATCAAAACAATTCTCTCTTCCCGAAATTGAAATGAGAGGCTATATTTTTAGAAATTCACCTCTCTTGACTACCATCAAATACATGCGCATGCGCATGCGCAAACATAAGTTTATAATTACTTTTAACTTGCCAACCTGCCTACGGTGCGAATGATAAGACAGACACTCTTGTTTTCTCAAGTTGTTTGTATTTCGTTCTACGAATCTCACATGGCTCCCCTAACAAAATGTTACACCTTTATCGTGTCTGGAGTAACGATTTTCACCTGCCTCGATTTGCAGGCTTCACCTGGATTATTGTGATCGTACGCAAAAAAAATATATATATTCTTAATTTCTGCAACTTTGTGAACACATTCAGCCAACGATCGTTCTTATTTATTGCCCGCTTATGCACTTTTTATATTCACTAGTAAATTAGGTGCCTTGACAAGGAAAAAGATTTTGCTCAGAAATTAATAGTAGTGGTGTAAAATACATTTTTTTTTTCAATATTACCTTCCGGGTTTACATTCTCAAATCCGGAAAGTGCATTGCCAAGAAAGGAAATTATGTCGAAAAGAACATTTTATTTATGCTAAATAAATGCTTTTATCAATAAGCTACGAAATTATTGATATCACTTCCTATTCACAATTGAATTATGTGCATTGGCAAGAAAGAACCTGCCTACGTACATATTGATATGTAAATAGGTTTGAAACGGTACAAAAGCATATTAAGGCATTAAAAACTAGAAATGTAGTATTGTAGGCCATGATAAGTTTAAAATAAAACACACCAGTCGACCGGTTTCGTCCCCTCTCGTCAGAACTGTTAACGGGGAATTTAGATTATGAGGAAAAGAAAAAGTCTGTCATGGGTGACATGAATGAATGGACAGGGAAGGAAAAAAAAATATATATATTAAAATTATACCAACCAAGCTGCTAGAATCGCAGAACAGCAAGTCCAAGCAAACAATCTCTCTGTTTGCAAAGAGCAGGCTGCCTAGACCTGATGTAAAGCGACTCCAGCACCTTAAGATGGAAAAGTGAGTGCGAATATGTCTACATATTCGATATGGTGTAAATACTCATTGTGGCTAGTTTTTAAATTGCTGTTTTTATTCCCCACCCTGACAGATAATGAATTGTACATATTGGGACTAGTTAGGACTTTCAGGGAGACAATGAGGTATTATAGTGAATGTAGCAAGAAAGGTAAGTAAGAATGCGTTGTTTTGGTGTTAGGAATATTTTGGTATGTTTGGGTCAGTGTTTGTGGCTAGCTAAGTTTAATGTTAAGACAGAAGAAGACCGTCCTTTTCCCTATTCTCCATTTTGGCCTTGTGTCACATTTCTGTATATACACAGAATAAATATTGCTCTTCGCTATGTTGCCCATTTCTAGACTGGCGACGAAGTCTCACTAATTCACAGTTGAGCTGTCTAACCGTAAGTTCTATGCTAACAGTTTCTTTTCTCGCACTTCTCGCTTGTAGAACTCCCTTCCGGCTCCATGCTTTCCAACCAAATTTAATCTTCAAAAATTTAAATGCAATGTCAATCACTATCTGCTGTCCTTGTTACTCTTCATCTGTTCTCGCTCCTTAGCAATGTTCCTGCTTCTAACTCTTCCACAGCCAGTAATACTCTGCATCTCTGTGGCTTTAGTGCCTTGTTTAGTGTGAAATCGATTAAAAAAAACATCTCGTTCAGTAACACAGAATTGCTTATCATTTTTCACCTCGAAGCTGACGCACAGTGCGTCTTTGTTTATGAGAGGATCTATTTGGGGTGTAGCATAGTCAGGTGTCAAGATGGTTGTTTCAACGAGGTCACACCAATTTACAGTGACGAGGTCACGCCAATTTACAGTGACGAGGTCACACCAATTTACAGTTGAACTGGCTAGATGTAGCCGTAAGTTCTATGCTAACAGTTTCTGTTCTCGCAATTCTTGCTTGTGGAACTCTCTTTCGCCTCCACGTTTTCCAGCCAAATTTAATCTTCAAAAATTTAAATGCAATGTCAATCGCTAACTTCTATGTTACAGACTGCTCTTCTTTTTATTTTCTTGCTCCTTAGTTCGTTCCAACCTGTAGGAATGACTATTCAAGACATCCCCAACTTCGAATTTACAGACAAGTCCTACAGATGAATGCTGTGATTTCTTCTTAACCAATAAAAATGGACACATTTTTGGTCTCATCCCTCTCGCCATTTTTGTTCTTTCTTGTCTTGAGGTTAAAACGCTATAACCACTTGACTGTATCCCTTTTGTGGGTGAACACAATTCTTACTTTGTGAACTTTTTTTGGCTTTTTACTGTTGCTTTGTTTACTTTTTGTTTGCATCCTTTTTTCCTTCGATATATCCCGTGAGTATCAAATTATCCAAGCCTCACATTTTCATTATGTGCCCTAGAAATTCCATCTCTCTCTTTCTGATTCGGAGTATAAGTGTTGTGGTAAGACCCAGTTACCCTCTTTATCATCTGAATGGACTGATCCATTCATGATAAGTAGTCCTGGGTAATTGTCTAGAAAAGAAGACGGTAATACGATTGCAGTGACTTGTCTAGCTCAGTATTAAATTCTACTATCGCGTCTGGCTCGGTCGAGTTGAGTGTTGTGCCGTGCCAGATCCCAATCATTAAATGTCCCTTGTTTTCGTTTTCTTTACGATTTCCTTGATGTTTATTCGGCCCGTCCTTGGAATTCTTAGCATCCTTCTGTAGAACCACATTTCTGTTGTCGCCAGTTTCCCTTCCATTTCAGAGGAGATTTATGACATTCACTGCCACTCGAGAGCATTGATATTGCACAATGGGGTTTTGGATTATTATTTTTTTAAATATCACCGTCATTTTGAAAGGCATCTTTTACTAATGCAATATGCGTTCGGGTTTCGGTGACATTTTTCCCACCCTCTGATAAAAAACTTCCCAGATATTTGAACTTCTGTATTATCTTGATGATATCATCTCCAATTCATCGTTCTCATTTCTGGGTTTTTGCTTTCCTTTTTTTTTTTTTTCTTTATTGGTTTATTTTTGCTTGTGCCCTAAGTTTTCTAATCTTGCGGAATTAAATATTTTTTCATTGGTCCCAATATTTATGATCGATATCTTCAGGTCATTTCTCCTTATTTAAACTCCTTATGTTCTCTTATATTGTTAGAATTTTTGGGTACTATGTACAAGTGAGCTAGCCAAAATGAGCTGACTCATTTTATAGTCCACCAACAGAAGGGTTAACCAATCAGAATGCTCAAAATATTCAATGCGACGTGTATAAAGGCAGCTATTTTTTTTTCTCCTAAAACTATCTTCACTGACAACTTGATATCGAAGACTTAAAGAATTACTTAACAGCTGCTACTTTCTCTGAAACTTCACTGCCAAACTCTGATATTAAACACATTACGAACTTCACTGGATTCCATATTCAGAGATTACGGCAAACATGGTCAACATATATGCCATCATCACTATTATTATCATCAACATAAATGTTGCATTATGGGACAAACTCCCACGAGGATGCCTCCCTGATCACCACAGTCCTAACCACTGCAAGTCGATGATCAACCATTATCTATCCTACATATTAATATAATATGCACCTCTACATCTCTGTATGTCAATACAACTTCATCTCGTAACGCTCTACTTTGAGGGACTCTCAAGACTTGAATTGGGTGTACAGTAGTAAAAACAAATTAACCATATCTAGTCCACTGCTTGAAAAATATCTTTCCCAAATCCTGCCAGGAAAACTATAACTGGCTATTTTCCATTGTGCGTTACCAGCAAACCTCTCTATCTCATTTATCCATCACATTATCTTTGGTCTTTCTCTTACTACGTTTGCTACTCATTACCCAACACTCAAACAACCTTTTGCTTCATCTGTTATCATTTCTTTTTGCGTTGTCCACAATAATTAATATCTGAAAATGTTTTGACCGATATTTATGTTTATTAAAGATGGGAGTTATTTACTTTATAGACAGCGTCACGTCAACTATTTGTGCTGTGTCTTCACTCTCGGCCTCTTCCGATCGTTTTAGTTCAGCGATGAAAGGACGTCAAACACGGAGAATCTTAAATATAATGTCAACATATACTAACTGTCCAGTGGGTGTCGTCCCCGCACCACCTAGGGAGCCGTTTCAGACACAAAAGAGAACACGTCTACAGCGCTTGACTGTCAAGAAACAACTCACTGAAAAACCTTTCCCTGTCATTCCCTCGCTAGCTCAGCCAATCGACTCCCTTATTATGGCTTCCATCTGACCTCGAAAGTCAACCTCCAGAATTAGGAGCCAAGATAGACTTCCAGTAAAAAAATAATGGACTGTTAAACTATTATTTAACATTTGATTTACAAGCCTTGCGAGTTCCAGGTTCATGCTCTAATCTCTTTCCCATATTCAAGAAGCACACAAAGAATACATTTTAAGTAGGATCAACAATGGTAAATGCAAATTAACAAACTTGTTTTTGAGTGGCCAAATGAACACGGTCGGACAGAGTAAATTGAGGGATGGGGTTCTTCAAATCCCCACCCTACAGGTAGGATCAAGCTGGGTAAAGTATTTAGAGAACCGACTGACTCGTCTCCAGGAATGTTGACTTTACAGTTGACTGGAAATAGACTTAATGCCTGATGGGTTTTGCTTCAGCTTCAGCAAAAAAAAAAAAAAATCCTTTTTGCTATTTTTGCTTTTTTTTTTTCAACTTCGGACTAAAGTTTTCATTGATGATTTTTATTATTTTTAGTTAATCTCATCATTTTTTTTTCATGAATAAATGTCATCAGTTGGTGGTCTAGCGTTGAAAATTTGGGGACAGAAGGTCAGGAGACCTACGTTCGCACTATATATGTATAAACATACATACATATAAAAATAAAATAAGGATTCTAGCTACTAATATAGAACACTTAATCTCCAGTACTTATCGATGTCAACTCTGATTTTTGTAATTTTTTAATCATTTGTTTTTGCTGATTACTGATCGACATTGATCAGTATTGAACTTTTTTCCTTTTTACATACGTACATATATACACACACACACACACACAAAATCGCAGACATACACATACATACATGGTAGGATACGATAAAGACCAAATAGAGAACGTTTATAAAAGCTTCAACAGAGAATTAATAAAAGTTAAACATGTTAGGTTGATAAAAGTTTCCTAATCGTTCTTTATCCTATAATTCTGTCGAATTTCGAGCCATGTTTGATCTCTATTTGATCGCAATTCAATATATATATATATATATATATATATATATATATATATATATATATATATATATATATATATAATAAAGAAGTAATTATACGAAGAATTAATTAGCAATGTTAATGTGATTAATGGCGAAATCACTTCGCTAACAAGACTTAATGACACATTAACTTACTATCAATTCCTGGAATAACGTTATCTTTATATTTGAATTGTTGTCAGATGGAATTAATGATTCTAGGCCGAGTAACTTCGACAATTTCAAATTGTCAACTTCGGGGCGTAATATTATAAATAAATGGTTCAATTTGTCTTGGTATACTAAGACGAAATAAATGTAGTGTCGACCGAAAAAGGGTTTTTAAAATATACTGTTTATCTGACAATTCAAAAGGATCGCTTTATTCTAGGAATTGTTAGTAAGTTAATGT